ATAAAAGATCTCTCGCTCTATAACGACTTAACATCAACTAGTCACCTCCTCCTCCATTGTCAAACCTAAGACCACTATCCAAACACTCACAAGCCCAAAAAAACCTTCATTACCGTGGTTTGGAGTCCCCTTTCTCAACCTACAAACAACCTTAGTTCTACCTTTCTTTCCCTAATCGAAATTTCAACGACCTCATTAACAAACCTTCTCCCTCCTATCGCCATTGAAACCACAACCACCACTCACAATCCAAACTCTAGTCAAGCCTCGAATACCTTAACTCGTCTTGTCTCTATACAAGTTTCAACCAGCCTAGCAACAACCCTTACCAAATTAGTTATTGTAGCCACACCCTCGATCTACCATAGCTCGTTGCCTACATAACCAATAGATATTGTTAGTGTTGGTGCCCAAGATCTAACCATGTTTGGATGGGCTTATGTTAATATGTTATTTTATCATTTATTTTGATAATAATAAAGAGGTCATTATATTAATTCTTATGTTTACATGTTGATAAATTTAGTAGAATTAGATAGAATTTCTTATGATATACATTTGCAATATTGATTGATTAAAAAATGTGAGACAAACACTAATGCATATAAATGATATCATTAAATATCCTAAGTCATAGCATCATCAAGAATGGACATTGACAATATACGGATAGACTTGTGAGTGCTATGATCATACTATATGATAGTAGTAGGAGATCTCACACCTATTCGCATGGTGATGACAAAGCAAACACTTAGGTGATTTATGTTAGAGAACATATCACTAAACTTGACTCACCATGAGAACCCATTTGGTTTTAATCTATGGGAATCTCATATGAGATGGGTACAAATAATCCTTAAACTTGAAGCCATCATGGTAATCTCATTGGAGGACCTATGCACTTTGACACTCGTTTCGATAGACCCATTAATAAGTTACACATGGGCTATTCATTAGGTGCACTAGAAATCCAATAAAGATAGGTGTATGGCTAAAATAGGACATGTCATTCCTTATATGTAAAAGGAGTTATCACACCGCACTTCGATAAATGTTTGCTAAAAAAATCGTGGCCACGGTCGGCGTACACCAATAGAGCATAATTGGTTTACTCTAAGAGCTAAGACATTTAAGAATCGAAGAAAACTTGTGTGATCATAATCAAACAAGACTAATAACCAAGTTTGAGATCACATTGTGATAAGTTGACATGAGGACTAAATTGTATGGTAACCATGCTCGTGAAAGGTAATAATGGATTAGCTAATCTTCTTAGAGAATTGGGTAGTCATGATAACTTACTAGAGGCCGGTCTTAATTTATATATCAAGGATGAAAGAGGAGTCTTTTATTCTTGATACATTACTAACATATCGAGGAGCCTATTGAGTCATACGTATAAGTTTAAGTTTTCACATTACAAATGAGAAGCAAATATATTGGAAAAAGTTTCCAATTATGAAAGTTTTCCATTTTGGAAAACATGTCCTAAAATGAAAAATTTTCTAAAATGAAAGTTTCCTATTTTAGAAATCGATTTCCTAATTTGGAAGTTAGTTTTAAATTTGAAAATAAAGAACCTAAAAGGAAAAGAGTTTCCTAATTTAGGTTAAAGGGTATTTTGAAAAATTATTTCTTAATATGGACCTCATCAAAATAATCTAAGAATATTTATTTGGATAGTCCAAATAAATTAATTAGGCTAAAATAGTTTTGGTACATTAGGTTTCATTAAAAAGCCTTAAGATAATTTTGGTGGGAGGATAAATATCAACCTTATTGGATAAGGATGAATGTTTTAAAGATAAACATCAAGTAGTCCACATATAAAATAACTCCTTATCCTTAGAGGATAAGGAAACAACAACTTAGAGTCATTTATAGGCTTAAGGCTACCATTTTCCTTATCATTGGAGGACAAGGATACTCTCCCCTATAAATAAGATGAGAGGGCGGCAAAAGAGAGAGAGAACCTAATAGAGAATTTTGACCAAAACGGGAAAAGGGTAGGGAAAATTTTGGTCGACCTCCAAACAAAAAAGGGCACACGGCCATGAGAGAAAAATGGAAGAAAATAGTTTTCTCCTAAAACCCTAGCAAGGAATTCTCATACCTTCTCATTTAAAGTTGCTCGCAAAGTTGTCCGAATTGATTTTTAGAGGAAATACTTAATCGGAAAAGGTGGAGCTAGCACCCCATCAATTTCGAGTGCTTCTTTGTGGATATTTGGGTCGCGTAGATCATCGATAGAGGCCGGACACTTTGACGACTAATCAACGAAAAGGAATTTAGATTTGCACTACAAGAGGTAATTCTTTATTTTTATCTTATTATTCATATATACATGATTAGTAGATTCAAGGCATGATCTTGGGGTCCGTAGATGAAGGAAAATTTTTATTTATTTCGCACTCCATAGAATGTATGATCCTTTAGATACGTCTTCTCATTGGTAAAAACCTAAATCCCTAGCGTGCATACCTCCCCAAATCATCATTTACTACCATCTCCTATCTTCATAGTCTTTTAGTACTAGTAACTCTTATAAAATAAACACATACACTACACTAGGGAGATCCGAGTCGTCCCCATCTCTATCAAATGTCGTGTAGTGCTTTGCCCATATCATAACCACCAGTCTTGTAGCCATAAATCGCCTTTTGACAAGCCGGCTTCCTAAGCCGTTTTCTCGCCTCAAGCTTTTCTTCGCGCATGCTTGCCGGTAGTACTTAGAGGCCATCGCGTGTGTATGCTCACGATCGAGCGAATAGCAAGCCATGCCTAAGCAAACGACCCATTAGCTAACTAGCATGCACGCTATCTCCTTATGTAGTAGCCGAGCACGACGACGATATCACTTGCCATATTTAGCAACTTTTCAGCATTGGTGGTAGTGGACAATGGTGCTCTTATCAACCATGATCTCTAGGTTTTGGGTGTTTCGGAGGAGTTTGGAGTTTTTTCCGATGGTGATGATCTTTAAAAAAGAGAGAAGCGAGAGAAGGGGCAAAGAGTAAGGAAGGTATAAATTTTTGGTCTTGTTTAATTTGGGGATGATTTAAAAAAAATGTTACATGGCACGGACTTTATTTATATATTTTTTGTTAGAAATAAAAATGAGAAAGGTTAGAAATGCGACTGTGTGAATAAGGGTTGGATTGTCCAGCCCATGGGAAAGCCAAGGTCGCATGAATCCAACCTTGTCCGGCCCCTTAACCAAGGGTTAGACTATCTAGCCCAAGCCCCCTTAAAAAAAGAGAGAGAGAAAAAAAAAAGGTTGGCTCGTCCAATAGGCTAGCTCAATAGGACACCCCAATGGACCCAAACCCTACGAAAAAAATGCCTACTAATTTTTGTAGTTTCAATTATTTTATTTTATTTTGTCTTGAATGTTTATTTATGCATGATTATCTCATGCTTATTCCAGATTTTAATATTCTATTTTTTTTTAAAAAATCTTATTTAGTTAATTTTAAGTAATTTTAGCTTTAGAACTTTAATTTAGATAAATAAATGATAGGTGAATTGTCAAGTCTTCTAATTTTTTCGAGAATGATGATGATTCTCTATAACAAAAAATAAAAAAATAAAAAATAAAAATTCTTAAGGAAGTCTCTTATTTGATAGGGACTATCGTTTGACCAAAAAATAAAAATATAAAAAATTTCTTAATGGAGTCTCCCATAAACCGATCTAGAGATTCTAAGGGTAAGGAGTTGGTTATGTCTTTGAAAGTATATTAATCACCCAAATACATCATTTCTTAAAAAAAATATCACGTTTAGTTTAATCCAAAGACTTATCTTCTAAAAACTTCTATTTTCACCAAAATTAATTCTAATCGAAATTTCAAATTTATTTTTTATTATTTTTATGCCAAACTAAGTTTTTTTTTTTTTTTTTTTTTTTTTTTTTGGCATCTTATTGAACTAGTCATTGGATTTTTTCGTCGAAGTCATGTTTATTCAAACATCGGATTCATTTTAAGTCTTGATATAATCGATATATTGGAGAACATCCTAATTACTAAAATGGTTTTTGGCTAACAACTATTTCTATTAGATAGGAAACTTTGTTAGAGTGTTTTTTTTTTTTTTCGTTCTCTTTTGTTTTTCTAATACTCCTTTCTTTCTTTCTTTCTTTTATTATTTTTGTTATTATATATATTTTTTTATATTTTGTCGTAGGGAACTCGTCATCAATCCCTAAAAATTAGAAGACTTGACAATTCGTTTATCTATTAATTACCTAACCTAATTATAGAAGAAAATTTATTTTCTAACATTCATTTTCTCTTTATTTTTCTTTTTTATTATTATTTTTTAGTGTAGAATCATCATCGGTGTTTAAAAATTAAAAGACTCAATAATTTATCCACCTATTAATCACCTAATTCTAGTTACTAAAATAAAATACAAAATTAATATTAAATAAATAAATTCAAGAAAAGTCAAAATATTAAATCTAAATTAAACATAAAACAAAATAATAAAGATAGCAAACATGCATAAATCTAACCAAACAAAGCTTATAATTAGGGTCTTGAGCCTTTTGGGATCAATGGGCTCTTGGGGCATTGGGTGAGGCCCACTAGACTGGGTCTAGCCTCCTCTCTTCTTCTCCCTTTTTTTCTCTTTTTTCTCTTCGGGCTGGGATTAACCCAGTCCAAGCCTTTTTTTTTTTTTTTCAGGTTGGACTGCGCTTATATCAGCTTAGATCAGCCCAGTCCAGCCTCACATCCTAACCAACTCCCTTCATACGACCCTAAACAAAGAAAAACAAATTTCCTTCCCTTCCCCTAAATCATTTTAGATCAAACTCATCGCTTCTTCTCTCCCTGTTTCTCGTTCTTCACTCTTCTCTTCCCTCCAGAAACGAAGCCAGAGGTTATCATCTTTGTCTCGATCTTCCTTGGATCCCTCTTTCTGATCAAACCCACAAAACCTCTTCTCTCTTGCATTCTCTCTTAGCCTCCCATAAACTAGATTAGTCGAGCCTTACTCTTCCCTTTCAAAACCAGAACTCTTGGGTTTGTTTTCTGCGTCAAATCGAATCTTTTTCTCCACCTTGCTCAAACGATCTCTCATTCTCTTTTGAAACCCACTCTCTAGCCTGTCTAATTTCTCTTCTTCACCACCAAATCGGGAACCCTAGGTTTCAATTGGTTCCCTATTTGAAAAATCCAATCCCTAACCTATCTAATTTCATTTTTTTGTCACCAAATCAGGACCCCTAGGTTTCAATTAGTTCCCTAATTGAAACCCTCACCGAAACTGACCATAACTAGTACTAGAACCTTTCCACTACTTTACCAACATGTTTCTCATTTATCTCACAAATCTCAATTTAAAGGGGATTCCTTTTTCTTTGGGCTAGTAGGATGTTTTGGGGTGATGGTAGTGATGAAATTACTGTCATCACCCGATTGACTAAAATTAAAGGTGTAATTGAGGGAAAATTAAGAGCTTTTTACCTGGATAGTCTGTTAAGGGAACTTGGACGAGAAGAGGTACTGGCAAGGAACACTGGCTGCCTCAATTGATGTTTGAGGACCTTCTGGACTCAGGTGTTATAGGTGCTGTGATTCTAGTGTCTCCTTCTGTAACTTGGTAAAACTATTTTGACCCTCCTATTTGCTTATTCTTTCTTTAATTTCTCCCTTCGACTGCTGCAGCCCTTTTTGTGACTGCTATTGTTCTTTTTTTTTTTTCCAATTCTTAAAACTTATACTGTTGTTTATGTTTTCTAATTTCAAAAAGAACTTTCTCTAATTGATTCTGTTCTTGTTTTTAAATTTTAGAAAAAAAAAAACTCCTTCTATTGCTTCTATTTTTTCTTTTTCTTTTTTTTTTTCAATTTAGAAAACCTCCTTCCTCAAAACCTCTTTTTTCCCCTTTATTTATAATTTTTTAAATTGGTTCCCCCTCCCCCTTGGTTATGGTTAATGAACCTTGAAGAGTGCCTGATTGTGTTCGACAGAAGTGTGGGATTCAGTAGGGTGGCTTGGTATGGATTATGCTGGGATTGACCTGTTGGGTGTGTAGGGTTGTTGCAGCACAATATTTGTTACAGGGTGTTTGTGGATTGTCCCTCTGGTCGTGGGGTTTTGTTGAGTAGTAGAGGGTTTGCTTAGGGGAGGTGGCAGAAGTGATCCGTGGGATTTCTGTAGGAGTTGCAGCAGGTTATGTTGGGGTGGACTTGCCTTACTTTAGGGATTTGCAGGCAGAAGGTTTGCTTGGGTGGAGGTGGTAGATTGTTTGTAGGCAGAGCAGGATGTTTGTGGGTTGACCTGCCTTGCTACAGGATTGTGGGCTGCAGTGTAGGAGTGAAAGGCTGGAGGTTGAAGCACAAGAGTGAGAGGCTGGAGGTTGAACTGCAGGAGGTCTAGGATTACAGGAGGTTTGGGTGCAGGAGTGGGAGGCTGGAGGTTGCAGTGTAGGAGGTCCAGGAGATTTGGGCGAGGATGGCTTGGATAACTTGCATTGTTGCAAGGTTGTGGACTACAGGATGTTGCAGCAGGTTATGTTGGGTGGTCCATGGGAAAATTGTAACAGAGATGGAGGGGACTTGCATCCAGTTTCCTCTTCTTTTCTCCTTTTTTTTGTATTGATTTTATATTTTGTACTTTATTTATTTATTTTTGTATATTTATGTATTAAGCCCCTGTAATTAAAAAAAAAAAAAAGGAAACATTTTTTTTTGTCTATTTTTGTGTTTATGTATACTAAAAAAAGAGAGCATAAATTAAATAATAATAATAATAAAGATAAATAAAAAAAAGAAAAATGAAAGGAATGAAAAATTAGGGTATTATTATTGCTTTTATCTTACAATGCTCACGGGGAGTTAAAGGGCAAACTTCAGACTGGGTTTGCTTAATGAGTTTGTAAAGCTGTGATAGTCTCATTATGTAGGGTGGTTGGTCTCAAAAAATAAAATGCAATAACTTCATTATATAGGATGGTTTGTTTTACAAAAGTAAAATACGATAGCCTTTTTGTGTTGTATAGTTTGCTCTAAACGGTAAATTACAATAACCTTAATGTGCGGGATGATTTGTGCTAAAAAATAAAATGTGATGTTCAAATTGCATAAGAGAAATAAACCTTTGATAGAGTATCCGATCAAAAATAGATTTGCACGAATCTCTTTAGGTGAGTTTTTTTTTTAAAAAAAGTGAGATCGAAGAACGAACCTTTGACGAGTGATCCGATTGAAAAAAATATGTACGGATCTCTTTGGGTGAGTTTTTTTTTTTTTTTTAAAATGAGATCGGAGAACGAACCTTTGACGAGTGATCCGATCGAAAAAGATATGTACAGATTGTTATGGGTTCTTTTTTTGTTTTTGAGAAATGAGATCTAAAAAATGAACTTTTGATAGGTGATTTGATCGAAGAGGATGCGTATGAAATGCTTTGGGCGATTTTTTTTTTTCAAAAATAGATTAGATAAATGAACCTTTGAGAGGTGATTGGATCAAAGATGATAAGTAAGAATCGCTTTGGGTGATTTTTTAGATGTGCTCTTGCAATATATCGATGAAACCGATTACAATGATTAGTACATAGATCGTCCCACCTTGTTAACGCTCAACTCCCCTTTTGACGTTCCTCATTCTATTCATTGGTCCTTTTGCATTACCCTTCGATTCGATCATTATAACCATGTCTCTTGGTTGTGTTCCTCATTTTGGTAAACATGGGGTCGATGCCTTTTTTCTTAGTTGGCTACCGATGTCTCTTACTATTTTCCTCATCCTTCGAAGGTAATGATCATCCCAAATTGTGATCGACTACTATCCGATCGTTTACCCCTCTTTAGTGTCATGCTTGGTTCATTTTTCTTGGTTGTTTCCTCTATGACTTAGGTCTCATATGCATTTGGAATGCTTGACATGGTTCATTACAACCATGTATGGAAAGTTAGCTAGATTTCAACTAGAGGTCTTGGATTCCGAGTTCGGACAAATCCTTGTAAATACTTCATATATTTGTCATGCAAATGCTGTGATTTGGTCAACTTTGTAATTTTCTTTTGCTCTTGTGTTTTGGTGAAGCACTTGGCTTATGGAAAGCGTTCGTGTTTATGAGAAAAAGGATATATTTTGCCCTCGAGTATTATTACACTCTAGTACCAATTTTGAGTTCACATGACATGTATTCCGATTTTGACTATCTCGTTTTCTACAAAATTCTTTCATGATCGTCCAAAGACTAAGACTTATCCGACTAATGGGTCACTTTTAGTGAGAAAAGACTTTTATAGGCACGTAATGTAGGCTATGACATTAGTTTTCCGAAGAATGGATAATGATGGCTTAGATGGTGTTTTAAGGTTTTGTTGACATAAGATCACTTAAATTTTTTTTTCTTCTTTTAGGACATATCTAATGCTGATGTGGTTGACTTAACCTCGCCTTTTCTTTTCATGCTTTAGGATTGATCTTTATGACGCGATCCCCTTCTTTATCATATGAGTTTTTTTTTTTTTTTTTTTGCAAGGAGGGATTTCCTATGGGGTTTGACTTGATTGTGATCCTCTTTTTTGAATTTGAATATTAAGAAAAATAGGTTATTTAGCAATACATTTCTCGGAACGGTGTTCCTTGATGATGATTTTTTATAACTTTTTGAAACTACCTTTTAGCTCTTTAACTCCTCAATGTGGGGGTGATCCTAGTTTGGTTTTTTATGAAATGAACAAAAAGCTCAAAGTTGGAAACCAAAGGATAAACTTGATTTGAGTAAGATAAAATTTTCAAAGATGGTTTTTCCTCATTCTAGTGACAAAAATATGTAGTCTAATGAGTTTCATTCTAATGAGCTCCATAGTGGAATGATGTTTAGATAAAACCTATAATCTGGACATACATTATGCGAGTCATCATGAGAGGTACCAAAGTGGTCTATTACCCTTAGGGCAAGGGTGATTATATCGACATTTGTGTTTCTTTTTTTTTTTTTTTTTTTTGGTTTTTGTTCTTTCTAGCAACTACTCATTATGTTTGCATGATAGTTCTTGAGTATACATAGGATATATCTCGTTTTTTTTTTTTCACTAGGCTCATCATTTTATCTACCTATTTTTTTAGTTAAATAGAATATTGAGTGATTACCTTTGGACTAAAATCTTGACTCGTTTCATTTAGTGAGGAATACATTCACCTTGTCAGTTTGATTTAGAAAGGCATATGCGATCTAAGTACCTTTAGGGTTTCTTGGAGCTTGGATTTTTTTTAAAGAGAAATTAAACATGCTATTTCTTGAGTAACGTACTCGTTGTGACATCTTACATGTCTTGTGTATCAATTTATAAGTAATGTCAATTAAGATCAAGAGGGAAATGAGGAAAATAATGAGTATTTGAAAAAAAAAAGAGAGATAAAATAATACAATGCATATGTTTGGCTCTGAATTTTATCTTTTATTTCATGAAGAAAAAGATGACAACATCTCAAGCATAATACGTCTTCACTCGCATCCGAGTTTATAGGCTTAGCTATACTATCTCCATCTATGTTGCCTAACGAAGTAGTACTTCCGAGAATACTTTTTGACTATATAAGAGCCTTCAAAATTAGGTGACCATTTGCTTTTATCTTCTCCGGACATTGGTAGAACTATTCTAAGCACCGTGTCTTCTTCTCGGAATCTCCTTGGTCTAACCTTTTTATCATAAGCTCTAGCCATCTTTTTCGATACATCTATGCATGATAAATAGTCGTTAGTCTCTTTTCACTAATCGATTCAATTACTCATATATGATTTTGGCCTATTTGACTTCCTCTATTGTGTTTCCATAAGCATTATAAGAGAAGGAACCTCCATTTTTAAAGGCACAACTACCTCTATGCGTACACCAAGGAGTATGGGTAGCTCTTATTGATGTTTTTATAGTTGTAAGATAAGCATGTAGTGCATATATAAGCTTTTCATGCCAATCTTTATATGTGATGATAATCGTTTATGCTATCTTCTTGATTTTTTTATTTGTCGCTTCAATTGCACCATTCATCTTGAGTCCGTATGGTATTGAGTTCAAATGCTTAATCTTTCAATGCTTACATAGTTCTATGATCATTTTTCTATTAAAATTCCGAGCATTATTAGTGATCACAATTTCTAACAAAGTATATCGATAAACTAAAT